GCAAGAGATGCACATTGCTGAGTGAGACACTGAGGGACACGCACTGCTGGGGGAGAGACTGTGAGAGACTTGGCTGAGGGATGGTGGGCTGGGAGAGAGACTGAGCATTCTTCCTGAACTTGAGTTGTAGCCTGGTGCTTCCTTAATAAACCCCATAATCTGTGAGTTCTGTGTGGCCCCTGCAGCGAATTATCGAACCCAGGAGAGAGGTGGTGGGTGCTTTGGGAGGAACGGTTGGAGAAAAGACTGGAGGGAGGTAGCTTTTCTGGCCTCTCAGGAATAGGCCTTGGGCTATTGATAGTAATTCTGTCTTCCTCTTGTGGGATTAGAGGAGGTCAGAATATGTGGCCTCCTTGCCGTTTTTGCAAAGTCTTAGACAACTTCAATCTTTTCTCCATTTATGGTGATGCTACCTATTGGTTCAGTTGTGAGAATTTTTGTTTTCTTTATGTTGTTGTTGTTGTTGTTATGTGTGGTAGAGTTGGACCTGACTCATAGCGACCCCTCCTTGGGTTTCCGAGGCAGTATCACTACAGAAGTAGATTGCCCCATCTTCCTTCTGAATATTGAGATGTAATCCATACTGCAGACTGTATTCTTCAAACTTCATCAGTAAGTGCTTCAAGTCATCCTCATTTTCAGCAAACAAAATTGTGTCATCAGCATATCACAGATTGTCCATAAGTCTTCCTCCAATCCTGATGCCACATCTTTCTTCATATAGTCCAGGTTCTTGGATTATTTGCTCAGCATACAGATTGAACAAGTATGGTGAAAGGATACTACCCTGACACACTCCCTTCTTGATTGTCAACCATGCAGTGTCCTCTTGTTCTGTTCAAATGACAGCCTCCTGGTCTATGTACAGATTCCTGATGAATACAATTAAGTGTTCTGGAATTTCCATTCTTCTCAATGTTATCCACAATTTGTTATGATCCACACAATTGATGCTTTTGCATAGTCAATAAAACAAAAGTAAACATCTTTCTGGTATTCTTTGTCTTAATCCAAGATCTATGTGACATCAACAATGATATCCCTCATTCCATGTCCTCTTCTGAATCCAGCTTGCATTTCTGGAAGTTCTCTGTCAATATACTGCTGCAACCGTTTTTGAATTATCTTCAGTAAGATTTTACTTGTGTGCGATATTAATGATATTGTTCAATAATTTTCACATTCTATGAGATCACCTTTCTTTGGAATGGATACAAATATATCTTCCAGTCAGTTGGCCAGGTAGGTGTCTTACAAATCTCTTGGTATAGCCAGGTGAGTGCCTCCAGGACAGCATCTGTTTGTTGAAACATTGCAACGGGTATTGCATCAATTCCTGGAGCCTTATTTTTTACTAATTTCTTCAGTGCAGCTTTGACTTTTTTCAACACCATTGGTTCTTGATCACATGCCATCTCCTGAAATGGTTGAACATTGACCAATTCTTTTTGGTATAGTGATTCTGTGTATTCCATCCACCTTCTTTTGATGTTTCCTGCATCTTTCAACCTATTACCCACACTGTTG